CTCCAGCCGCCGTGGAGGAGTCCGAGAGCAACAGCAGCGACAGCAGCTCAGAGTCGGAGGGGGAAGAGGAGACTGAGAAGAACCGAGGGGAAGCCCAGGACAGCAGCTCAGCCAGCTCAAGAGCATCCACCCCTCTCTCTTCCTCCAACTCTTCCTCCTCTTCCTCTTCTAGCAGCAGCTCCTCTTCATCCTCTTCTTCCTCCTCTTCCTCGGCCTCATCGACCTCTTCTTCGTCGAGCTCCAGCTCTTCTTCCTCCTCCACTACGGATGAAGACTCCTCCTGTAGCTCTGATGACGAAGTAGCTGAGGCCCAGCCAAGTTCCTCGGTGCAGCAAACCCTCCCGCCCAAGCAAACCAAGCAGGCAGGGAAATCCCGCGCGTCCTCCCACCCCCAGAGCCAGAAGCAGCCGGCGCAGCAGCCGGTGCAACAGCCGGCACCGCAGCAGAGCAGCAACAAGAGCAGGCCCAAAAAGCGCGAGGGCATCCACCTGCCCACCACCAAGGAGCTGGCCAAGCGCCAGCGGCTGCCCTCGGTGGAGAACAGGCCCAAGATTGCTGCTTTCCTCCCCGCACGGCAGCTGTGGAAGTGGTTTGGGAAACCCACGCAGGTACACGGGGCCTCTCCCGCCGCTCCGCTTTTTTTCGTGCTCAGCGCGGGGGTTTGCCTTGTTTTCCTTTCTCCTGGAAACTCTGCTTTTCTCCTGGAAACTCTGCCAAGGCCTCCAGTTCGCAAGGAGGTTGGAGTTGGCCTTTGCCATGTCTGGGGGAGCCGTCCTGCGTGGTGTGTCCCTCTGCCCCGTTTCCCGTGGGAATGCCTGTGGACGCTGTGGCTCTGCCGACAGTGAAGGGTGGGATGCGGGGCAGGGCAAGCAGTGGTGGGTGGGGAAAATGTGGGTGATTCCTGGCTGCTCACCTGCACCATCCTCTCTTGGCAGAGACGAGGAATGAAAGGGAAGGCCAGGAAGCTCTTCTACAAGGCCATCGTCCGGGGCAAGGAGATAATCCGTATCGGAGACTGCGCGGTCTTCCTCTCAGCCGGCCGCCCCAACCTGCCCTACATCGGCCGGATCCAGAGCATGTGGGAGTCGTGGGGGAACAACATGGTGGTCCGAGTCAAATGGTTTTATCACCCAGAAGAAACCAACCCTGGGAAGAAACTCAACGAAGGCAAGGTGGGCTGGTCTCCTTTGCCGAGAGGGCTGCAGAGCTGCTTGTTCCCTTTTGTTTCCAAGGTGACTGGTACCGTCATGGGGGTGACCCCGCTGTTCCATGTTGTGGGGGCTGCCTGTGGTGTGGACATGCCTGGTGTTTACCCCTGGAGCAGGGAAAGGTGGGGTTTGTCATAGGAAATACGAGGCTTTTGTGTTGGTCCAAAAAGCGTGGAGCCAGATCAAGCCTTTTTTACAGCGTAAGAACAACTGGCCTGGTGCTCGGAGACACTGCACTGCGCACACGTGTGCCGTGTGGTTTGCACTAGGCTCTTGGCAGTTACTGCCAGTGGCTGTGGACAGGGGTTGAGGTTGTAAAGGCACGTGTGGTGGGCAGGAGGTGATACCATGGAAAACCAAGTGATGAATCTGCTCTTCATTTCTGTCTTCTCTTTTCTCTTCCTCTCGGGCACAGCGCTGGGATCAGAAATCGGGCAGGAGTCTGTCCGCAGCTTTGCAGGCATCCAACCAGAGAAAGGACTTTATGGAGGTTGGTGTGGTTGGGGGAGGGCTGGGAGGGGATGCTGGGGACTCCATAACAAGTGCTCCTGGGGAGATGCCCTCCGAGCCTCTCCCGTTGTTGCTTTTTGCCTCGGCTGCTGAGTCTGCCCTGCCCCCAACTGTGGATGGGTGTTTCTGGGAGGGTGGGAGTAGCTGCAGGGGACTGGTATCCAGCACCCATCTTTGCTTTTGCATTGTTGAAGCGAGGGTGACAAAATCCTGGCCTCCGTATTCCCCTGTCCGTGTCCTCAGCAGCCAATTCCCATAGGTGGGAGCTGAGTGAAAGCGAGGGCTCGGGTTTAGGGCGCTGGGCGGATTGTGTCCACGCTGCCCGTGGGCCCGTGCACATTCCCAGTGTCCCTCCCCTGGGCTGGCGATGGGGATGAGTGGGGAGCTCTGCTTGAGCGTGAGCTGGCAGCTGTGGAAGTGGTTTGGGAAACCCACTGGCCCTGGCCAGTTGCGATGGGCGTTTTTCCTGCCTGTTGAAGATGTTGCTGTAAATGCTGTGAGATCTAACTGCCCCTTTTCTTTCCGTCTCCCTCCTTCCCTTCCCGCCACGCAGCGAGCCCTCTACCAGTCCTCTCACGTGGATGAGAACGATGTCCAGACCATCTCGCACAAGTGTCTTGTTGTTGGTCTGGATCAATATGAGCAGATGCTAAAGACGAAGAAATACCAAGACAGTGAGGACCTCTACTACCTTGCAGGGACCTACGAGCCCACCACGGGCATGATCTTCAACACCGACGGGGTCCCTGTCATCTGCTGACCGCCCGGGGGACACGTGCCACCCCCTGGGAAGGGATGGGACAAACCTGAGGACGTGCCTGTTCAGACGACATGATTGTTTCTTTCAATGCTCATGACTTCTGTGTCACACTACAGACAGGAGAGCACGAGAGACACGAGGAGGAAGGAGAGGGCTGAAGAAAGGGGTTGGGGAAACAGTTACAGGACTTGAGGAAGATGCCGTTGCGGGGTGGTGGTGGTGCTTGAACCCCAAGGCTCTTCTGGAAGTGGCTTTAAGTAAGGTGACACTCGACCAACTTCTCTCCCTTCCTCCTTTTGGTCCAGGAAAGCACATGGGTCTCGTGATCATTTCACCAGCGGGACCCCCCGGCAGGAGGGATCCCTTTTGTGTCATTTGCCCCCATCAGTAACTTGGAAGCCGCCTGTACGTGGAAGGACACCCGCTAGCCTTCTGTGTACACTCCTCTCCGTCCTTATATTCCCTTTCCTGCTTAGTTTCGCATGACCCTTTAGGAAGGACAGGGTGAAAGAGAAAGATGAGTCTCTCTTCAGCGCCTCGTCTCGATCCTCTCAGCGCCTTTTTGCGGTTCCCTTTCCCTGGCGGCCCCCAGCCGGCAGCGTGGAGCACCAAGGAGCGGAGCTGGCCACCAGCATGGAGATGGCAGAAGAGGTCCTCCGGGCGGGGAGGAGCCAGGTGGAAGAAGAACCAACATCCAGTCTGGGATGGTGCCTCCGCGCTGCCTCGAACAAACAGTCTGAACCCACTTTCACCGTCGCTCTGCGTCCCTCCTGCCCTGGAAAGGTGCTGGTGGGAGCAGGCGCATGGTGAGGGGGTGACGCTGGGCGAACAAAGTACTCACCTTGGAGCGTGCAGCGAAGGGGGACAAGGAGGTGACGGGGAGAAGCTGCTGCTCGGTGCTCGGAGCAGAGGAGACCGCAGGCCGTTGGATTTTGGCTTTACCCACCATGCCTTGCCTGAGCGGAGACGTGGAGCTGCTGGGGAGCCCTTACCCATCAGCTGAGGGCAATGGAGCTGGAGTGGGAAGCCCGGCCGTGCCAGCCTGCGGCGTTCCCACAGCCAGAGCCCCGCTGCCACCTTGGGCTCGGGGAGGGGACCGTGACGCTTGTTCCCCCCGGCCGGCCTGCCGCCACCATCGCCTCCTCCCTCCCTCTGTGGAGCTGACCCGCCGTCTCGCTCCCGCTGGGCACCCGCCGGACCCGTGGCATCACCGCTGCCGCACCAGGGTCGCACTTGGCCGGAGGGGACGCCGGAGGAGAACCACGCAACGATGCAACATCCTTGCACTTAAACACAAAACCACCTCCAAGAGACGCACTGATCTTTGCAACGACCGACTCGCACTACAGATCGCTAGGACGCGGAGCGGGGCCCGGCTCGGCCGGCAGCGGCGGCCCAGGCTCCGGTGGGGAGACGCTTAAGACAAGGACAGATTGGAAACTATCCGCCCTGGTACCGGCTGCGGAGCAGAGGCTGGAGGCCGGGGCTCAGGGGAGAGGGACGCCCCTGCGAAGTTACCCCTCGTCCTTTAAACGAACCACATGGTGCTGAGCTCGTACCATCTCCACCCCGGGCCACCGGCGCCTCGGCGCGGCGGATAGTGACGGTTCTAGCCTGTACAGTTTTAATGTACCAAAAGACTCTTTAGCCCTCCTGTATTATAAGTCTTTAAATGGATTCAACTTTTTAATTATAAATATAAATATAAAT